GGTTTAGGGCTTCTTACTTCGGGTTTGGCTTCGGGCTTCTTACTTCGGGTTTGGCTTCGGGCTTCTTACTTCGGGTTTAGGGTTTAGGGCTTCTTACTTAGGGTTTGAGGTGCTTTGGGCTTACGGTTTGGGGTTTCGGGGTTTAGGGGTTTAGGGTTTAGGGTTTAGGGGGGTTTAGGGGTTTAGGGTTTCTTACTTCGGGATTTCCCCACCTACCTCCATGCCACCTTTGGAGCCTTTGGAAGCAAATGAACTTATAGCTGCGTTGGACGCCATAATACAGGGGCCTTAGTAGGGTTTTGGGGCCCATTAAAGAGTTCCTTAAAGGGTTCTACAAGGGATACTATATGGGTTTAGGGTTAAGGGGCCTTCATGATTAGAATAGGGTTCTGGGGCCCACGATACTATTATTATAATAAGGAACCCCCGAAATAGTATTGGTATTTATTTAGGCCCCTACATTACTAGTACCCAGAGAGCCCAATACCCCTTAAAACAAGGAATATACCTTAAATTATAGAAGCCTTAAAATTATGATTTAAGGTATATCTTCTAAACCCTAAACCCTAAACCCTAAACCCTAAACCGTATTATGGGGTTTTGGGCTCTCTGGGTACCAACTGCGGGCTCTAGCGCTCCCAGTCTATGCATCGTAAGCCCGGTCTAGGGCTCAGAGCTCAAGCACGAATGTTTAGGATTTAGGGTTTAGACTTTAGGGTTTAGGGTTCAGGGTTTAGGGAATGTAAGGGCCTAAATATTTACCAATACTATTTTGGGGGGGTCCTTATTCTAATTTATAGTATAATTACTCGGCCCAAAAACCCTATTCTAATTGTTAAGGCCCCTATATTACAGCCCAAACCTTGATTGGACCTCCCACAGGTTTTAGGCTCTAGAATTCAGGCTCACCCAGCAGTACCCTCTTCCCGGTATGTTGGAGGCTTCCCTCAACAAGGGTGCCGCTGTTGCTAAGGAGATACTGGGGAAGGTGAGGGTTTGGGGTTTGGGGGTTTAGGTCACCCGAAACCCTAAAAAAAACATAAACTCTGAAAGCCCGAAAACCTAAACCCTAAACCCTAAAAAACAACTAAACCCTGAAAACCCTAAAACCTCAACCCTGAACCCTAAAACCCTAAATCCTTCAATCTTTCAGACCCGAAAGCGTAAACCAGGGCAGTGGGCTTACTGTCTGGGGCGCCGAGGGCTGAAGGGCCTTAGATCGGTTTAGGGTTTGGGGTTTAGTGTTTAGGGTTTAGGGTTCAGGGTTTAGGGGTTAGGGTTTAGGGATTAGGATTTAGGGGTTAGGGTTTAGGGTTCAGGGTTTCGGGTTTAGGGTTTAGGGTTTAGGGTTCAGGGCTAAGGGTTTAGGGTTTCGGGTTTAGGGTTTAGGGTTTAGGGTTCAGGGTTTAGGGGTTTAGGGTTCAGGGTTTAGGGTTTAGGGTTTAGGGTTTACGGGTTTCGAAACGCCCAAGACTGAAGACCTGGAGGCTGAGGCAGGGGTACTTACAAGCTGAATATGACCGTAATTGTGGCCCAGGTGTTTAGGGTTTAGGGTTTAGGGTTTAGGGTTTAGGGGTTTAGGGTTTGGGGTTTAGGGTTTAGGGGTTTAGGGTTTAGGGGCTGTAACTATAGCCCAATTCAAGATAACTAGCTTAGTGAACTGGGGATTGTCTTGCAGCCACAGTTGGGATTAGGTCTTTAGTTCCCAAAAAAACTCAAAGTGCACTTTAGACCTCTTCAACTCAAGGAGCCATGAACGGCTTATGGTTTAGGGTTTAGGCTTTAGGGTTCAGAGTTCAGGGCTTAGGCTTTACGGTTTTGGGCTTAGGGTTCCGTGTTCAGGGTGTAGAGCTTAGGCTTTAGGGTTTATAGGGCTTAGGGTTCAGGGTTTAGGGCTTAGGCTTTAGAGTTTAGGGCTTCGTGCTCAAGTTACCAAAGCTGAGCGGGAGATGTAGTAATCATAAGTGCTTCCCATATTCTAACGATTTCAACGAAGTTCCTGCTGAACGACCCAGTAGGTGGATTCAAACCTTCTTAAACCCTTAGAAGTTCACCATCAAACCATGGGAAATCCAACAAAACCTGTCTAAGACCCAACAAAACCTTAGATGACCGTACGCGAACCTCTCTGAGATCTTTTTATGATTTCAAACGCCTGTGGGCATGTGTGTGTATCTACATACAGACATACATACATGCTTACCTACCTACCTACCTACCTACCTACCTACCTACCTACCTACCTACCTACCTACCTACCTACCTACCTACCTAACCTACCTACCTACATGCATACATACATACATACATACATACATACATACATACATACATACATATGTATATATATATATATATATACAGTCTATTATGATAGTGCTGATGGGGTCCTGAATAAATACATGCTACTGTATTTTGGTGGCGGGGGCTGCAAACTGTAACGATCTTATGTGATGTCAAGGCGGTCTGCTTCGTCTGCAATGCAAGCCCTAAACCCTAAACCCTAAACTCTAAACCCTAAACTTCTACCCGCAGCAGTGGAATCCCGCCATTGGAAGACCTGAACTCTGAGCCACTGACTCATGACATCTCATGACGAACCTCGCCTCCTTCCTCGCTTCGCATGCCATTAATTAAATCTGCTCCAGCATGCCCCGACCTCTGTCGGGTCCAAGATCTCCTCGGGCTCCACGTTCATAGCCCGCAGCATCGCGTCGTAGCTTCTTGCAGTCCTGGTGGACTCCCAAGACTCCTGACTCATGCTTTCCTTACCATAGCCATGGTCGAACAAGCCTCTCAACGAATAGGCCCACATCAAATTAGTGAGAGAGGAGTCCAAAACCATCGAGTCATACTGTGGCGGCCGCGACCAGCGTCGGAACCGTGCACGTACTTTTGACGGGAGGGTGTCAAAGGCACTCGGCATGGCTTTCTTTCAGGCGTGGGAAGCCTGCGTATCCTAGAGTTTACGTGTCTTCTTCTGTCCTGCCTGTCAACTTGGCAACCTTGTCTATACACTACTCAGGAGCAGTATTGCAGCTTATGCAGGCAAAAACCCTTAACCTGAAACCCTAAAGAGGCACTTAATCCACGGACCCTCAATCCCCAAAACCTTCACAGAACCCCACAACCCCTCTAGTTTAGGGTTTAGGGATTAGGATTTTGGGTTTCGGGTTCAGGGTTAGATCTTTACGAAAAACCCGACGGACCAGCCAAAAACCCTAAACCCTACTCCCTAACTCCACAATCCAACCTTCCCGTAAACCCTAAACGCTAAACCCTAAACCCCCAAACTCGACCCCCTAAACCCTAAACCCCAAACCCCAAACCCTAAACCCAAAACCCAAAACCCAAAACCCTAAACCCCTAAACCCCTAAACCCTAAGCCCTAAACCCTAAACCCCAAACCCCCGCGACTTCTCCAACTCCTCGGCCGGCGGGCAATGGCCGTGGCATCCGGAGGACCGTCTAAGTCGCTCATCGCGAAGCCCAAGGCTTCGCAACCTCACAGAGGGTTTAGGGTTTGGGGTTTAGGGTTTAGGGTTTAGGGTTTACGGTTTGGGGCTTAGGGATTTAGGGGTTTAGGGCAGAGGAGGACGAGGGATTAAGGTTGAAAGTTTACCTGAAACCTAGATAACCTTCTTTGTTGGGAACTTATCATCGGGAGCCCTAGAAAGGCAAGGTTTCGGTGGCTTTGGGACGGCTTAGGGTTTAAGGTCTGGGTTTTAAGGGTTGGGGTTTAGGGTTTAGGGTTTGAAGTTCAGGGATTAGGGTTTAGGTCCTGGGCTTCGGGTTTGGGATTTGGGATTAGAAGGGTTCTGAGATTCAACGATGTCTAGGGACACTCACGGACTCCGAAGCAAGATACCTTGAAATATAGAGGCACCCTCATTGTGATTTCCGGTATACTCCTCAGGATCAGGGTTTTGACTGCTAGCTGGAGGGTTTTACACGGGCCTGCCCACGCCAGGCAGGCCAGGGCAGGGCAGGGCAGGGCAAGGGAGGAGGCGGGTGGCCTTTCGCGATCGATTGCGAGGGGCTTACGTGCCGGCCTATGCCTTGAGTTCAGGGTTTAGGGTTAAGGGTTGAAGGTTTAGGAGGTTAGAGTGCTTCAGGTTAACAGTTTGCTGCTTCGTTGCGGTTCTAGTTCAGGCTTCAAGTTAAAACAAACTTAATGCAAATGTATGACTGCACTGCACAATTTCAGGATCCAAAACTCAAGGCTGCATGACTACCTGCGACACATCTTCCCGCACAGCCATGTGCCAGAGCTTTCATCCTTTTCGCGGGACCGAACGAAGCAAATAAACACAAGTTTTTTTAAAAAAAATGGTTGATCCAAATTCAGTTCCCTTGGTTTGAGATGGAAGGCCCGCTTGTTCTCATTACTCTAGTAAGGACCCCAGGAGGTGTAGCGTAGGCGTATCGAAGGGCTCAGTTAGTTTGGGTTCATGGATGGGAGCTTGAGCTGACCCTAAGCCCTAAACCCTAAACCCCTAAACCCCTAAACCCCTAAACCCTAAACGCTAAACCAATAAACCCCTAAACCCCTAAACCCCTAAACCCTAAACCCCTAAACCCTAAACCCAAACCCCTAAACCCTAAATCCTAAACCCGTAAACCCCTAAGCCTTAAAGCTTAAACCTCGAACTGCTATGTGCCCACACCGGGCCTTCCACGAACAAGTGGACGTCCTCCATCAGCGCCGCCATGAACAACTTGGCATAGGCGAAACCTCATCGCGGGTTTAGGGTTTAGGGGTCTAGG